CATCTGGATGTATCAGATTACGAATTCATTTGGATCGTATTACTAATCATTTCAGATAAATATTTTTTTTTTTAGTATTTTTTTTTTTTTATAAAAATAATTTTTTTTGTGAAAACGGGTTTTTTGGTGACCAGCTTAGTGTTTCGATCCGGATAAAACCTCAAATATTTTAACGTGGGATTATAATTAAAAAAGGTTACAAATTTCGGCTTTAAGTGGACTATAATTTCGGCCAGAATTAAAATAATATTATTCCATAAATTTTTATTAATTTTGGTGGTCCCAGCCTAAATTAACCGAGCCGGTATCCGGATAAAAACCGGATAAAGCCGCTACGGATCGAAACTCTAGACCAGCTCTTTGTCAAAACAGAGATTTGTACCTTTAATTTTAGGAAGGTTATTTTTTAGTAAAATAACAACTTTTCTTTTTTTATAGGATTTTTATTTGAAGTATAGTTTGGAAGGATCATAAAGCTCTAAAGGGTTTAAAAGGGATTTTTAAAGACAGCAGAAAACCAGTCTTGTATATTCAAATATTTGAAGTAAAATAACTTCTCTATAGTATAATAAATCTGTATGGAATAATGCTTTAATGTAAAGTTTCAACTTATGGGTGGAAGGTGCAGTTATCTTGGGAGGTTGTACTTGTTTTTTGAGAATAAAGTTTATTTTTAATAAAACAATATTTTTTATGGTTCTCTAGATGATATAATGATCAACATGAAACACTGTTAATACTTAAAAATGCAACGTTGAGCACTTGAGCATGTAATTCAGAAAGTTTAAGTTCTTCAATGAAAAAAAATTCAAATTCAATTTTTTGCATTCCAGTATTGTTTGTTCTCACTTTCATATCTATTTATAGATTACTATATAGCCTTTTAATTAAAATTTCACAAAAACAAAAATGGAAAATGCAATACTGTATTTATATAAATTGTTTTTATTATAATATGATATTAATGTTTAAATGTTTTATCAAAAAAAAATAATATTTATAAAAAAAAAATGTTTATCGGAAAAATAATGTTCATCAAAAAAAGTAAATGTAAAAAAATTATTTAAAATAATTTAACGTTAAAAAATATAAAATAAAATATTATTTAACATTAAAAACTATAAAATTGTTCACCAAAAAATATTGTTTACTGTTTAGGTGGATGAATTGAAGGTATCATTTTGGAGTTACGCTTTAAAAAAATGATTTTTTTGAATAATTCAGGATTCATGTTTACTCTCTTTGGTCCCATAATATTACTAGCATCTGAAAATATTCTTTCTGATGCAGTTGATGATGCAGGTATAGGTAAATATTTACGTGCTAATATACTTAAATAGTGAAAGTGCTTTTCTTGACATTCCCACCAAGCAAAAGGATTTTCCTTCCAGTCAATTTTGTCCAATCTCAAATATTCTAAAAGTTCATCATTTACAATTCTTGTTTTAGCTTTTTGAAATCTAGAAAAAATTGAATTCTTATATTTCAAGTTTTTTGATGTTGAATTAAAAGAATTAGAAGATGCTAATTTACTACTATCTACTTCTTTTAGTTTTAATTTTTCAACTTTACTACGCAATAAATCTTCTGTTTTAATTTTAATTTGAATAGATACATGTTTAAGATTTTTTGTACATGGATCTAATAGAGAAGCTAAAAGAGCATTGGAATCTTGAAAATTCCAATATTTACACAAATTTTTATAAAGTTTTGTCCTAACCATCTTTAACAAGCCAGACGTATTTACAGGTTGATTTAAATTAGTTTCAATCTCTATATTTTCTTCAATAAATATATCTTCATCTGTTTCTTGTGTTTCTTGTAAAACAGATTGTGAAAAAGATTGTGGAGAAAATTGTATAGAGGATAGAGAAAGTGATGATAGGAAAGGATTTAATAAATCTTCTTTAATTTCCTCAATAAATGGATTTATAATACTATATGTACAATAAGTACTGCTTCCTAAATAGAGGTATGCTCTGAATCCGATCAATCCGGATATCCGGTCATCCATCTAAAATTTGACCGGATTCGGATTGATCCGGATGATTCATTGGATTGACCGGATGGATCATTGGATATCCGGTCAATACTTGCTCACCAATTTGACCGGATGGTTGACCGGATATCTGAATAATCCGGTCAATCTGGTGAATCCGGTGAATCCGAATTCAGTTTTTTCTACTTAATACTTTTTATTAATATTAATTAACAATTAGAAATTTTATAATAATAAACATAGTATTTATTTTTACGTTATTACAAATGATTTTTAACAAATTAGTTGATACAATATTTATAAAAAGTTTAAGATTTAGAGGTCCAAGAAGATGTCTCCCTAAAAAAAAAAGCAAAAGGAACATTAATTACGTTCCTAAAAACAAAAAAACAAAAATACCTTTCCCCCAACTTACCTTTATAACCCATGCCGAAATCCAGGTCCAAGAGGCGTCCTCCTAAAGAAAAAAGCAAAAGGAACGTTAGTTACGTTCCTAAAGACAAAAAAAAAAGAGAAAAAACCCTTCCCCAACTTACTTTAATAGCCCAAGCCGAAATCCAGGTTAGGAAGGGCGTCACCTAAAGAAAAGAAGCAAAAGGAACGTTAATGACGTTCCTAAA